GGTGTAATCAACAATAATTACTTTTATTCTACTTTCAGGTACACACCTGAGATATAATCGTTAGTGAAAGAAGAAGCGGAAAAATAAATAACTTTCTCTCCGGTGCTCACCTAGAGGCTGAATCCTTATTCTTCGAGTTAGCTTTCATTGCTATCCAATCTAATCTAATCTTCTCTTCCTCAAAACAGAAATGCGCAGCCGCTTATATGCAGCAGACGCCGCACGCTTACATACGGAGATACACTAAATATACGTCAGGCAAAGCTCCGGGCTTGAAAGTGATGACGTCAATCGTCGCTTGGCAACAAAACTGGATCCACTTCGCTTTTTGGATCCACTCGCGTCAAGCTGATTTGATGCTGTTTCCCATACTTTTCGAAGCAGAAAGAAGCGACATTTTGAGAAGAGGCCACTTGAAGAACTGTGGGAGCAATTTTCGATACCTAGTATACTCTTGACCCGGCAGGGCGGCTTCGTATGACCATGGTGCAGTGTTTTGCAGCAGAATGCAACCACAGGACAGAGGATCGCAAGTGCAGCTTCTTCCGATTCCCGGCGAGGGATCCAGAGCGCAGAGAGATATGGAGGAAGATGTGTCGGTAAGGATATGTAGGCAGCCTGTACAGTACCTGGATAGTTTTATCGTGATGTGCTATTCACGCTATGAGTAAATGCTTACCAAGTCTGCTAATGCGTTTTGCTTTGCTGGCGGATGGATGGCGTAACGCTTTTTCACAGTTTGTATTTTGTTCGATCGAGTGGAAGTAATTTTTTCAATTATTTTTTTTATTTTCCCATAGTTGCAGGGAAGCCTACATGTAGTTGGTCCCATAGGTCTTCAAACATTTGGTTGGTGACGGATGTGCGTAAATATCTACGGCGTGATAAATTCTTCCTCAGATTTTTCTCTTTCATATCCTGCAGGGCATGATTTACTCAAACCCAGAATCAGATGCATAGCAACTCACGTGTGTTACAGTGCATGGCATAAATGAAAGATCAGTGCAGTGTACAATGTAACCTCAAGAGTATATAACTCCCCAAGAGTGTGCAACTCCTGATACCCTTTCTATGGGGTACGTCGACGGCGAAAACTCACATCACGTGCAGTGTCGCAGTTGTACGTTTCCAGCCCGTTTTTAGCGAGCAGCGGAGTAATAAAAAAAATCTCTGACAGAAACTCACTGCGGGTATGCAAATCCCCAGCCAAATCATGGCAGATATTCGGATTGCACGCACGCAATCCTTCGTTTGTACGTAGTACGAACGTATCAGAGACACGTGATATGAGTTTTCGCCGTCGGAGACTCCATGTGCAGAGTTGCACACTCTTGGGGGGTTATATACTCTTGGTAACATCAAGAGTACTCTTGGTAACATTTAGTCTGTGGACTCCACAATCTGCGCAGTCGACTACGTATTTGTGCTACTGTCAGAGTCAGTACCGTACCGAGTGCTCAGAACATGTGGGGTACAGGTACACACTTCACACGACCTTTCGACCGCAATGCATGGCATGCATCGCACATTTTCGTTACACAACCCTGACCTTGAGTCGCAAGTAGGCGCATCTGCGTCGCAAACTGCCATGCGAAGTAGGCGCATCTGCGTCGCAAACTGCCATGCGATATGGGATAAATCATGCCCTGCCGTGCTAACTTATATTTTTGGCAGAACGATTTTGTTTTTAATCAATGATAGCCGTCTAGGCTAAGCTAAACCAAATGAGTACATGAGCAAGACTGTGCAAATCCTTATACAATCATGTAGGTGGCTTTTTATGATGCAATCTATTGTGACTATTTACTATTGTTTCAAGTTATTGAGCAGCTAGCTAAACTCTCCTGGATATTGTTTGCTCTGCACTTTGCAGGCGACAAGACAAGGAGCCAGATGCCAGTTCTCGACTATGTAGCTGTCATTTCAAAGACGGAGATAAAAAGAAGGACCCCACTATATTTCCACGAAATAAGGATAAGGCGTTCGGTTTTCAGGACCCTGAACCAATGCATAGAAGGTATGTAGTCTAGGTCAATGTAAGAGATTTGTATATTGAACTTGATGTTCTCCTGAAGCGATTTCTAAATTTGTTTTGCCATCCCCCTAAATGAAGTGTGCTATGTGAATTCTAGTAGAGGACCAGATCAGTATTTCATAACACTGTGAACCATCGACGGGCAATCTTTCATTTTTGTTTTGTTTCTCACTGTCTCTCCATTATTTTGTGCAGGAAACGGACTGTAAAGGCATTAGCTGTTGATGATACGGACAAGGATGGTAGCGAACCAACTGAAGCTGACCCATTTGAAGCTGAACGTGAAGCTGCTGAACGCGAAGCTGCTGAACGTGAAGCTACTACTATGCAACGCCTGCTTGAACTTTTCCAACGCATCGACACGTCAATTCTCGAAGTGAAGTATGATAAGCTGAAGGCTGAAGTTAGTGCCTTAGAAAAGCGAAAAGCGAAGGTGGAAATCCAGTTCTGTTTCGAATTTATTTCCCGGAAAGCTGAACTTGTCCGGCACTACACCGGCCTGCCGTCTGCTGACGACTTTCGTATCCTGTTTCGTCTTTGCACGAGGTTCCCGATAGAGTATCACCAGGGCTGGCGAGTGGAGCTGGTACCAATGGAGGACCAGCTCCTCATCACCCTCATGAAGTTGCGGTGCAACTTCAGTCTGACTGACCTCGGCTTACGTTTCGGCACTTCGCACACCACTATATCTAATATCTTCCATACATGGCTTTCTGTCCTTCATACTGTACTCTATCAAGGCATGCTCCCGTCGCAACTTCCGTCCGTCACGAAAAACAAGACTTCTCTACCCGTCTGCTTCTCTACGTTCTCCAGTTGTCGTTTAATACTTGATTGTACTGAAGTCGAAATTGCAATTCCAAGCCGTATGGACACTCAGACGTGGACCTATTCCCACTACAAACATAAAAATACATTCAAAGGTCTTGTGGGTGTCGCACCGAACGGTGTTGTCAATTATGTCAGTCCTCTGTACCCAGGTTCAACCAGCGACAAAGAAGTCGTTCGCCACTGTGGAGTGCTGTCAAAGTTGACAGCCGGTGACATGGTACTCGCCGATAAAGGATTCCTGATCCATGACTTGATGCCGGCTGGTGTTTCTCTAAATCTTCCTCCTTTTCTCACTACTCCTCAGTTTACCGCTGCTCAAGCAAATGTAACTGCCCGCATCGCAAGAGCTCGGATCCATGTGGAGCGAGCCATACAACGCATAAAGATCTTCGCCATTCTCGACTACATACCCTACCAATACCGTTCTTTCTCCAGCGAAATCTTCCAAGTCTGTGCAATGCTAACTAATCTTTGTAATCCTCTCCTGAAGGAGATTGAAGCTGGTGACCTCAGCGCTGATCCTGCATCAGAAACTTCTGAGCACACCGACATCTCTACTCTCACACCACTGCAAACCCCTGCTGCTACGCCATCACAGAAACTGCCCATCACACCCGACATGGTGAATCAGTTATTCGCAGTCCTGTCAGCTGCAGACCCGTTAGCCAAAGCACCAGCACCGTCAGCATCAGCCGCAGCACCGTCAGCCAAAGTACAGTCAGCATCAGCCACAGTACAGTCAGCATCAGCCGCAGCACCGTCAGCATCTGCCGCAGCAGCAGTACTGTCAGCATCTGCCGCAGCAGCAGCACCGTCAGCATCAGCCATCACACCCGACATGGTGAATCAGTTATTCGCAGTCCTGTCAGCTGCAGACCCGTTAGCCACAGCAGCAGCACCGTCAGCATCTGCCACAGCAGCAGTACCGTCAGCATCAGGCGCAACAGCAGCACCGTCAGCCGCAGCAGCAGCACGGTCAGCATCTGCTGCAGCACCGTCAGCCGCAGCATCTGCCGCAGCACCGTCAGCCGCAGCAGCAGCACCCTCAGCATCTGCCGCAGCACCGTCAGCCGCAGCAGCAGCACCCTCAGCATCTGCTGCAGCCGCAGTTTCACGGGTCTCCCTGGATACATTGCATTATTTGCCACATGACATGTGCCAGTCTCGAATGGATGGGCGGCAATGGAGCAATGCCTGCACCATCATTGCATGTCTACAGGCCTGGAAGTACCTGACTGTGCCCTACCCCATACAGCCATTGTCATCTGCCGAAGTCACGAAGAGATTTGTAAACAGCATGAGAGAGGGCAATCGACTGTATGATGATGCCAAGTTGGGGAACAATCTCCTTGCCATTTATGATGCGCTTGATGTCATACCAGGCAAGCCACTTCGGGTGGCACCTCGTTCCGATTTTGGTGCACGAAATGAGGAAGGTTTATCAAAGTTGTTAAAGAAGTGTAAGGATCAGGCTATTCTTTCCCAATCTGTTCTTCCTGCCTCTTTAATTCAAAATCCCTACACCATTCTTCTGGTATTTTTCCCATCTGGTTATGCTCAAGTCTTCGACAGCCATGCCCATGGCGAGCGTGGTGCCCTAATCGCTATTCTCCCAGCTGACATGAAAGTTGCAGCGAATTTTCTTTCCACGCTTGTTGGGCACATAAAAGATAGCCATCTCTGTATATTGGCACGAAAACAGTAGTTTATCCTTTTGGTGCGTTTTGCCAAAATTATCTTGACCCACTGATTGTGACGAGAAATGTAGTTCTGGAAACTATAAACATTTCAGCCATGTGTTATGGCGATCGCATGCATTCCCCCGATACACATCGCATACATACTCATTCTTCCAAGTTGCTTCACGTTATGATCTTGCATTTGAAAGCCCTATTTGAATATTGTGGCCAGCTGTCTTTGATGGTACGGTACGGCACAGGTACGAGCTGTCTTTGATGGTACGGTACGGCACAGGTACGGGATAGCGCAAGGCATGCCGATGGCACAAACAAACAAACACAAAGTTAAAGCTGTGATGACCTTGGCTAGCGTCAGACGTTACTGAAGTAACGTCTTTTGCATAGCATGCATTCCCCCGATACACATCGCATACATACTCATTCTTCCAAGTTGCTTCACGTTATGATCTTGCATTTGAAAGCCCTATTTGAATATTGTGGCCAGCTGTCTTTGATGGTACGGTACGGCACAGGTACGAGCTGTCTTTGATGGTACGGTACGGCACAGGTACGGGATAGCGCAAGGCATGCCGATGGCACAAACAAACAAACACAAAGTTAAAGCTGTGATGACCTTGGCTAGCGTCAGACGTTACTGAAGTAACGTCTTTTGCATAGCTACGGTAATAATATAATTGTCAGCTCGTAGGTGCAATTGTGTGGAATGTTCAGGTGGTGTTGAAGGAAGAGGAAGGTGTAGAGTTATGATTGCAGCCATGGCACAGGTGACTAAAGCAAGAGGGGTGCTGTTTATCATGCACCTACAATATTCATGCATAAACGAACACGCACATGCACCCACACATACAGAATTATACACCCATACACAACGCATCACACACAAACACACACACACACATGCACCCAGCCACACCTACACACACAGTGGCAGAACTTCAATTTAGAACAAACATACAGATGTTCTCACTGTACTCTACTGTACGCTGTTTTGGTGGAAAGAAAGACATGGCTGGATATAGAAGGGAAGAGTTACACAGGCCATTGCAATCCTAGGATTGACTACACACCACCATCCAGAAAGACAGGCAAGAAAAAGGTTTTGTAGAATTCCTCGATCCGAGCCAAATTTCCTGACCAGGTCGGGTCAGCCCGAATTGGGATGATCACCGTCTCCAACGGAGTCCACACGACAAGGTCGCATACTTCATGACCTGTCAGACATAAGTTACCTTGGATTTGATGGAAATAATTCCATCCAGATTCAGTTGACAAATCAAGGGAAAAGTTAGCAGGAGAGGAAGAAGACACTGACAAGAAGAAGGTCTTTTCCTTCGCCATAGCTGCAAGAGATGTCGATCTTGCCGAGTACGGACACTTGACCTCGATGAGCTTTGTTTCGCTAACTACGCCATCTGGGGAACCACCAATGAGGCCACATGGTGCAAGCCATAAGCCGCTGGATCTCACAGACACATATTCACACTCCTCATAGCATGCAACAGCCGTACTTTCGTGCATGAGACCCCACTGGATGGCCTTTTGCCCAGACAAATCATACTGACCAAGAAGGCGAGTAAATAAAGATTTAGATGGCTGGCGGCCAGATGAGATAGTCTTCAGCACAGGACCGAAGTTGGATGCCGTTATTCTGCCCTTGCGTAGAAGCGACCAAGTAGCATTCGAGTTTTGGCCACGTGTTGCTTTTTCCACAGCTACAATTTGGGCAGCAGATACGGATAGCCTGGTACACACATAGGTGACTTTGTGTTCTGCTTCCAGGAATCCTTGACTCAGGGTAATACCTTCAACCGTCTCCGTCGGCAAATTGTCCGCTTCTTTCACCTCGGGATCTAGCAGCCAACGAAAACCCTTCCACCTGTCAAGTGTCCCAAGCTGATGGTGAAACCATGCCCTGTCCTCATTATCCACAGGGCGTGAAATGGCACAAAACGGCTTCGACTTCGGGAAAATGTCATCCACAGTCCTACAAAGCAGATAAAATGCGTGCACACACACACACACACACACACACACACACACACACACACACACACACAGAGTGCTTTTTATTACTCCGTTGCTCGCTAAAAACGGGCTGGAAACATACAACTGCGACACTGCATCACGTGACGTGAGTTTTCGCCGTCGGCGTACCCCATAGAAAGGGTATCATGAGTTGCACGCTCTTGGGGGTTATACTCTTGCTAATATCAAGAGTCTGCCTGTCTTCTGGCATATGCGAATACGTGGACTTACTGTTGACGTAAACGCGGACGTGCATATACTAATATCAATAAGTATATAAACAAGAGTGTGCAACTCGAGGATGGGTTGGCCCACGACGCAATTTTTTGTTGACGTAATATTTTCTATGACGGACACGCTGCGAGCCTTTTGGGAAGTTTTGCCTCGTGCACTTGGCCAGGCTTTACATTACAAGGTCGGTGCCCAGCACCTGCTCTTACACTGCCCTGCGGCAAAATCCGCATGCTCTGTAAAAAAAGGTGACGTCAACAAAAAATTCTGCCCGCGGGCCGCGGTATCTGCAGATTGTGCAGGAGAGATCCGGAGTTGCACACTCTTGTTTATCTACTCTTGCTAATATTGATAAGCATCCTCCACATCAGTAACAGTAACACCTGCCAACTGGTTGTCGCACATGCTGGATTGCCAGTAAGCTAAACATCGAGGCAAAGAATTTCATGAAACCAATACATGTACGTGTTGCAGTCACATCGGAGGCACCAGTTTTCTACTTTCACAAAACTAATAATCAACAATAATTTGCTTAAAAATCCTTACTTTGTTTCACTAGTTCCCTTCCGTACAGTCCAAGAACATTCCCTGTCCGTGCTGCTCACATTCTTGTTCGCGTAGACAAGGGCTGCAGCCATGTGGTGGCACCGTCCTTGGCCTTTGGGACAAGTGCACGAAGCGCGTACAACGCCACCTTCAGAACCAAGTTCGATCTACACAAAAATTTGAATATAAAAATAGTAGAAATATTCAAAGACGATGTGAGGGTGTCCAGGTCGATAGAAGAGACTGTAAGCAGCTAGGAACGGCACAACAGTTGCTTAGTGCTAGGTTGCTCACCTCCACATCATATCTCTTGTCCTTCATGCTTGCGTGGATCTTGGCAGTAATGTGCCCAAGCTCATGGTGAAACAGAAATGATTCCACGCGGTTCGAAGAGTGTGCATTTTCTCCACGCTGGATCAGCCTTGGTTCTCCACTGAAAAAAGTGGCGATGCTAGATAACGGTACTAAAGACATTCTAAAACAAACAAAACGCAGAACTGGGGGCCAGGGGGAAGACAGCAGCCTAGGCTTCTGGTCGAAATCGAAAGAAATATATGTCTCCTCCACTATTTTCAAAGCTGGTCACAAGAGCTCGAGTGGGTAGTGGATCCAGTTCATGTTGCACGTGATCCCGTGACGTAGGACTTTCAAGCCCTATTGTTCCGTGCTGCTTCCGTATTGGTCGGGCAGGGATACTACACATGTACATGATGTACTATACTGTAGTGGATATGGAAATCCGGTCACACGTCTAGCGGCCCCAGGGCGCTGGCCATGCAGCCGTGGGCAAGCAGACCACACATGCGCTGGAACGCGCTGGTCGCATCGGAACAACATGACTGTGAACTGTTCTGTACGCGCTGAGGGCGCCGGCCCCGGTTAATCGACTGGATTTACATGTCCACGACAGTAGCACTGCTACAGCTAGTACTGGTAGGCGTTGAGATGCACTACACTGCACTACACCCGTCACAGAAGAGTAGACAGGGACACAATACACAGCCATACTCTGTACTCCCAGAAACATGCGCTTGCATGCAGTGACAGGCAGCTACCAGCAGACTTGTAGGTGTGAAACAGGATCCTTGGCTTGGGCTTAGGTGCACATGTAGACCATGACAGTATGACTCAGGTGCACTTGCTTTACATGCGACCCGACAAGATAATTTTTGGTTCGTTATAAACGAAAACTGTTCACTATACAGGGTCAATTAAGTTTCCGTGCATGGCACGGTAAGTGAAGTTAGCAACCACATTCCTAACATAAACTTTGCACGTACTTGCCATAGCGCATCACGTGCCCGTGCAGAACACGCACTCCGAACTCCCGCGCTCCGGCACGGGACCACGCGGAGCATGCGCATTACTCCGGCTCTCGATGCTGTTTCTTCATCCTTGCTGCACCAACAGTCAGATCGCTTGACAACCTTGGCCAGTTTTTGAACAGTTTTTGAGTGACTTCGCTTGACAACCTTGGCCAGCTTTTGAGCATTGAGCACTTTCCATTTCCGAGCAACCATGTCTGAATCTCTGTCAGTGAACGACGCCAAGAAAATGCGCTCTGTAGAGCTGCGACAAGAACTGGCGGCCCGCAATTTAGACACGACGGGGACCAAACCCAGGCTGTTGACTCGCCTGCTCGAGTCATTGGAGTTCACTGCAGTGCGCGAGGACTTGGCCACTCAGGCAGCCGAGCAGAACCTACCCCAGGCAACTGCTGCTCCGTCCCTGAGGGACATTATCCGGGAGGAGGTCCGTGCTGCCCTTGGAAATCAGGCCGCAGCTCCAGTCCCGCCGGCAGCTCACGCAGCGGCACCCCCACCGCCAGCTCACACAGCGGCACTCCCACGGCAAGCACCAGCAACTCCGCAGGACGCTCTGCCTGCTCCGCATTTGGCGGCTGCCGTCTCACCGCCAATGAACCCCGCAGGTAAGAGAACGTTTTATGCAACCGTGCCGAAAGCCATTCACGATAAAGTAGTAACTGGCCAATTTGTTGAATTGGGCTCATTGTTGCCTAACCCGTCCCAAGGGGACACCAGCCGCAGCATTCTCCAGATCGACCACGACAGCTCGCAAGGCGCAGTGGTCCTAGCACCGGCCAACAGGCCCTCCAGGAAGGTCGAGGACATCGATACCTGGCTCGACGCCTGGACAACATACTGCGCGATTTACGCCACAGCACACCCCTCCAGGGCCCCAGAGCTGTTTGCGTACCAGCAGATTATCCTGAAAGTAGCCCGGAAATTTCGATTTGAGGCCGTGCAGGAGTATGACCGATCATTCCGCTCACTCCTGGCCGCGGACCCAACCATGCGGTGGGACGCAATAGTCCAGGACCTATACACAATTATATTTGACGCGCGGGCATTTCGTCCCTTTCGGCCCACCGTCAGCAATGACGCTCGTTCCTTTCGGCCCAACAGCAGCAACGACGCTCGTTCCTTTCGGCCCAGCAGCGGCAACGACACGGTCGACAAAGAAGTATGCCGCCTCTTCAACCAAGGAAAGTGCGCCCGCTCCAACTGCCGCTTCGCCCACAGCTGCCTCTCTTGCGGCCGCCTCGGTCATGGCCAATCCACATGCTCTGCTGGCCAACCCCGCAGCTCCAATTAGCTCACACGCGCCTTGGTCCCCTGTAAATATTCCCCTGCTGTTTGAAGAGCTATCCCAGCACCCCGATAACGATTTTGTGCATTCTCTCTGTCACGACATGCGCTTCGGGGCCCGCATTGGCTATCACGGTAATAGATCCCGCCTCATCGCCCCTAATCTCCCTTCCGCATTGCTCAACCCTGCCGCCGTCTCTGCTTACCTTCAGTCTGAATGCACGCGTGGCCACATGGCCGGGCCTTATTCCCAACCCCCATTCCCTAATATCCGATGTTCTGGCGTTGGCATCGTGCCCAAGAAGTCTGGCGGCGTACGCCTCATCATGCATTTATCTGCCCCTAGCGGCTCTAGCATTAACGATGGCATTTACCCTGACGAATTCTCCCTGCATTACGTTACGGTAGATGACGCAATACGCTGTATCTTCCAGCACGGCCCCGGAGCTCTCCTCTCTAAGGTTGACATGAAGCACGCCTTCCGGCTCTGCCCTGTTTCCCCTGACGACTGGCCCCTACTTGGCATTTTTTGGGAAGGTTCGTACTATGTCGATAAGGTACTACCATTTGGCCTCAGATCCTCCCCGTTTCTGTTCAACAGACTTGCCGACGCTGTGGCATGGATTGCAGTTAATAATTACGATATTGTTGATTTGCTGCATTACCTAGATGATTTCTTTCACGTCCAGCCGCCCAACTCCGCAGCTATGCTCAAATTCAAGACACTGCTGGCTGTATTTGACATGCTGAATATCCCATTGGCCGACGGAGAGGACAAAGTGTGCCCGCCGTCAACTTCAATAACGTTCCTGGGTATCGAGCTCGACACAGCCGCCTGGGAGCTGCGCCTCCCGGCTGCGAAACTGGCGGAACTACGGCTAGCACTTGCCGCGTGGCTGTCGAAGCAGATGTGCACCAAGAGGGAACTGCTGTCCCTGGCCGGTAGCCTGTCTTTCGCAGCCAAAGTCATTCCAGCGGGTCGCACGTTCTGCAGACGCCTGTTCGACAGCGCAGCAACGCTCCCTAGCCTAGATGCACCGGTAGCCGTACCCTCGGAGGCGAAGCTTGACATCCTGTGGTGGGATGCCTGCATCAGCCAATGGAATGGTCGGAAGCCCCTCATCGAGCCGTCCTGGAGCACAGCCGAAGACATCGGGCTGTACACCGACGCTTCGGGTCGACACGGTTTCGGTCTGGTTTTCGGCAGCAAGTGGTCCTATGGCGCATGGTCTCCTGACCAAGCTGAGCACACTATTGAATGGAAAGAATTGTACGCCGTGATGTTGGCCCTCTGTACCTGGGCACACACGTTGGAGGACAGACGAGTGCTACTCTACACTGACAACGAAGCAATCTGCTACATCTGGCGCTCTGGCACGTCCCCAAATAGAGCGGTCATGAACTTGGTCAGGGCCGGCTTATTGAAAGCCGCCCAGCATAACATTGTCCTCCTGCTTCGCCACATCGCCGGACACTGCAATGATCTTGCTGATTCTCTCTCCCGTCTGCAGGTACGGCGCTTCCGGACCCTCAACCCAACTGCCGACGCAGCGCCTACACCACCAGCGCAGTCCACCCTCCATCAGTTGATGACGCAGCCATGGAGCTCATCCGTCACGGCCTGGCAGACAGCTCCAGCGCGACGTACGCTTCAGTGCAGCGTTCCTACGAACGCTTTGCTGCCCTACGGCAGGTCGCGTCGTACCCGGTGACGGAGCCCAGCCTGATTAACTTTCTGAATTGGAAATTCTCGTCCGGCTCGTCTGGCTCGTCTCTGAAACTCTACACCCAGGCGCTGAGACATCAGCACGTCCTGCAGGGCCTCTGCCTGGATGTTTTCGCCTCACCGCGTGTCCGGCTGCTCCAGCAGGGGGCGCTCAGATCCCAGACGGCAGTCCGGAAAGTGCTAACGGCCGCAACTTTGGACGATCTGGCTGGCGTACAGCACTACCTGCAGTCCACTGTGCCTAGCCCGCACAACCGCGCCATGCTCTGGAGCGCCGTGACTCTGGCCTTCCACGGGCTGCTCAGAGTCAGCGAGTACACCTTCACGGCACGGGGCGCCGGCCTTGAGTACAGCGATGCGACCATGTACCCAGACCGCGTGGAGCTGCGCCTGCGCGTGACAAAGACGAGCCAATACGGCAGCGGCCAGGACATCAGCGTCAGGAGGACAGGCTCGCCGACATGCCCGCACACGGCAGCCACCAGCTACCTAGCAGCCCGTGGCTCGGCACCTGGCCCGCTCTATCGCTATGATGACGGCACGCCCCTGAAGCCGCATAACATCAACAGGCTACTACAAACAGCCTTGCCTAACAAAGACGTGCGCAGCCACAGCCTCAGACGAGGCGCTGCAACGCTGGCAGGCAAAGCTGGCGTGCCTGAGTATGTGCTGAAGACCGCCGGCAGGTGGCAAAGCTCTGCCTACCTCCGCTATGTCCGCACCCCTGTCGCAGACAGAGCATTGCCAGCGGCGTTGTTCTAGTCTCTGCCCGTTATGCTAATGGGTAGCCGCATTGGACGGCCCTAGCGACAGCTGTAGTGTACATATGATATACATATTATACTATAACTATGGTAATGCTACTATAACTATAGTAATGCCGATAATTCCTGTTTGGGTCATGTTGTATTTTTGGGAGAACGGTAGGGATCGTGGGTCAGGCCGGCATTGAGCCAAGTGCGCCTACATGTGCTCACAAGTGCATCCCTACCGTATGCTCACGTATTGACACGCCTAAGAACGGTAGGGATCGTGGGTCAGGCCGGCATTGAGCCAAGTGCGCCTACATGTGCTCACAAGTGCATCCCTACCGTACGCTCGTGTATTGACACGCCGGGCAATTGTTGCCCCCATTAGCCCTGGCATTGGCCAGTCTAACGCACATTGGTGCTTGCGATACTACGGCATTGGACCATAGTATTGCATACTGTATGCGGCAATTGTTGCCTATGCCCTGATAATACAACGCGTAATAGCTCCCAAACAGGTCGGCTTGTTGTGTGGTTGTTAAATATAAGTTTCCGTGCATGGCACGGTAAGTG